TAACTAATCCTTAAACCATTCACGAGTAATCGGACTCTGGCCATATTGCCTTGAATTTCAAAATTGGTACGGTATTAAATTTTATGTATTAAGTATTATGATTTCTATCATAGGTACCAATCAACTATTCTAGATTCGCCCATCTTACAGATTAAGATACATGGACGATTTCACACAAATGTGACTCTATATTAAAACTAAATAATACAACTTATATTGTAAATATGAATCGAAATTCTAATTTAAATTCTAAAGTCTAACTCTATTTTTTTTGAGTTAATATCCAATTTAGTTCTCGACTATAGTAATTTTTCTCAATTTAGTCATAAACAACTTTTTTTTGTACTTAATTAGGTCCTCGACTTCCATGGTTTTACCCGATTGAGTTCTCAACTGTTAGAATCAATGAATAAATGGATAAAAACCATTATTGTCGAGAACTAAATTGGGTAAAACCACTATGGCCAAAGACTAACTTGGGTAAAACTACTCTAGTCGAAAATTAATTTGGGTAAAACTAGTATAGTCGATGACTAAATTGGGCATTAATAGAGGTGAAATTACCAAACTATCTTAATAGAGTACTCAATTGGCTAAAACTATCAAGGTCGTGAACCTAATTAAGCACAAAAAGTCGTTTAGGACTAAATCGAGAAAAACTACTATAGTCGAGGACTAAATTAGGTATTAACTCAATTTTTTAAGTGAAAATTTCACCATTTTGGTCCTATGACTATTGGAGATTTGGGGTGTTGTTAATTGTAGTCCACTAATTTTAAAATTGTCAATTTAATATCATAACTATTCAATTTTTCTCAATTTCAATCCATCTGGCCAAATTGCTGTGAAAAGTAGCCGTTCTTCTCCATTTATTCTCTTCTCCGCCGGGAAATTTTTTTCTCCTCTTCTCTTTCTTCTTGATTTCACAGTCGGAATAGATAGTTGCGCAAACGTTGGTCCAAAGTTATAAAGAGAAAATCGGGGGAGAAAGAGCAAAGAATCAAGAAATGCGCTGAGGAAATCTGTGAGAAGGTTAAAATTACGAGAAGAGAGAAAGGTACAACAGTTAATCCTCCCGAGAACATCATATTGACACTAAAATATCCTGTAAAGGAGATTCAAGAAGAGGGCGCCACGGTGGCCTTGCAGCCAAGTTCAACGGGAGAGGAACATTTCAACACAGACAGTGCTCATGGTGCTGAAACATCAACTTCAGTAGACCATTCTGCAACTAAGGTTAATCCTGCATGGAAGGTGAATCTTCAAGCTCTTGACTTCTGCAAAATCAAGATGCTAAAGCAACAATTTCTTGTGCTTGAGCGCTTGACAGGGAAGCAAGGGCGCTATGAAATTGAGAAGAAAGAGAAAAGGAGAAAAAAAAAAAACGGAGATGAAAATACTAAATTGTCCTCATTATTTTACTCATTAAAATTTATCGACTATTTTTCGCCGGTAATTTGGCCGAGGGACTGAAATTGAGAAAAATTTAATAGTTACGGTACTAAATTAATAGTTTTGAAACTCATATACTGCAATTAACAACACTCCAATAGTTAAAGGACCAAAAGTGAAATTTTCTCTCTTTTTTTTAAGAAGTCATTGACTATGGTGCGAAATGTCATTTACATATATACTACGGAAAAATTATTTATCAAGGACAATCCCAACTAAGTTGATCTGATTATAAATTTAATAACCACAAATTTATAAATTCAACTCTCAATGGGGATGACCTATTGACTTTTGTATCTTTTTTTTTTTTGGTCACTACGCGAAGGTATGCACTGTAATCCTGTGCAATGAGTATGACCGAAAGGGTGCTAACAAGAATTAAATTCATAACTATCCAATAATTCATATATAAAAATAATATTCCACCCACTTAACTAGCTTGTCTAGCATAACTTTCGTAGTAAATTTAATTCTCACATAGAGTTAATACCAATTCAGTTTTAAAATTTAACTATAAGCAAATAATTGTGTCATATTCTGAATTTAATTTTCATAATTTTATCAAATTTAGTCTTTCATTATATAATTTGTCTCATTGTTGTAAATTTTATATATCATCCCATATATCTGGCAGAGTGGCAGAGAATGATCGTCAAAATGTTTACCGAGAGCTAAACCTTAAAAAAAATCACCGAAAATCAGGACCAAATTATCATATTCTTTTTTTTTTTTAAATAATTACAACCTACATAAATTAAATCTTTAAAAATTATCTCAATGTTTACTAGATTAATATATATATATATATATATATATATATATATATATATATATATATATATTAATTAGTTTGAAATAGATAATTGATAGCTGAATTTAGGTACGGCGACCTGGTTGTTGGGTAAGTGGATTGGATGAAGACCAAATACATTACAACTATGCACTTGATTATACTAATAATAACAATCATCATCATTGAATTATTGAAATCTTGTTTGGATTCGGTGGTTCAAATTTCAGTAACTTTTTCTCTTGATTTAAACTAGTAATTCACATGTGCGATGCAAGGGAAAAAGTTATGTTATTATAAATATAAACAAAAATAGAAAAAATAAAAATATTTTAAATTGTTTAATATAATAATATTTTTTAGCTTCCATTGGTCAAGTATTTATTATTTTTATAGAATACAAAATTACAATTAAAATTAAAATTAAAATTTTGTATGGTTAATATAATCTCTAATATGTACATATTCAAATAAAGTTGTCCATGTACAAAAATTGATTTCTTCAAAAGCGATCCAATATTTGAAAAAATTTGACCTAGATTCTTATTTATTGTCATAGTATAAGACAAAATCAATGGAAATTGTCTTCTTGAGAACTTAAAATTGGATATGAAGGTGTCAATGATAGTCCAGGAATCAACACCTTTGTACTTGCATTATTTTCAACATGATCTCCCAATCTAGAAATGATCAATTGCGTACCATTACACAATCCAATCGAGTGGTTTATATTCCACAGAAACATAACTGGAAACCAACTTTTAAAAATAGCGAGTGGTTCAACATACCTAAACATCGCAACTTGTTGGTTTTATGGCCACCATAGTAATCAGTCGGTGGGGAGACGCGCGTTTTATTAAAACGACGTCGTTTTTGCATCCGTATGCACCATGATGCACAGCATAATTTGCCGTGTTTTACTCCTCACTTGGTCAGTCCTCTAGGCCTAGCTGCTTTGCCTCCAAGCTAAAACCCTTAAACCATCGCCTCTGCTCTAGGCCTGGGCGTTTCTCAAGCTCAAGTCGGCTCAGTCCTCATCCCAAATTCGCAGCCGACAGTCCGACACTCACTAGTCACGCCCTCAGCCCTCGCCACTTCGCCGCTCGACACCGGCGACCGTAGCCACCACTCGCCTGACCACGGTTGAAGGGCACCGGCGACCAAAGATGACAAGAGGTAATGTTTGCCTTGACAATGTCTTGTTTCAAAATTCACTTTCATAGTTTCATACTTTCATAGTTTCATTTACTTATTGTTTCAAACTTTCAATTCAAACACTCGACAATGTTTGCCTTTACAGATTTTACAGATTTAAGCTCTTGAATTTTCACCTTAGCCTTATTTACAGATTTAGATTTTAGGGTTCTTGAATTTCTACTGGAATGAAATTCCAGTTCTGGAAAACTGGAATGAAAATTCCAGAACTGGAATTTTCATTCCAGTAACTGTCATTCCAGTAACATTCCACTTTACTGTAATGAAGTTCCAGTTCTGAAATTCCAGTTCACTGGGATAACTGGAATTTCATTCCAGTTTACATTCCAAGTGGATGATTCTTATTTTAATAATTCGTTAGTAAACCGGAATTTCATTATTGTTTTATGTTTGTAATGTTTGAACTTTGAACATTGGATTTGAACTATGTGATGCTTAGTGCTTCATGTTTCTTTAGTGTTTTCTGTGCTTAGTGAGTTAGTGCTTCGTGGTTCTTTAGAGTTTTCTATGCTTTGTGCTTTCTTGATTTCTTATATATGTTTTTTTTTTTTTTTTAAATTCCAGAAACTGGAATGAAATTCCAGTGTCCAGTCACTGGAATTTCGTTCCAGTTTCTGGAATAAACTAGAACGAAATCCAGTTTCTGGAATGAAATTCCGACCAGTAGTAATGGAATTTCATTACAATGTTTTTGTTCTTTTTCTTGAATATTTTGGTTAGAGGTGGACACTAACCATTGGTATTCATTGGCTACTTATTACAGATGGATGATTCATGATGGAAATGTTGAATTTTGGAGGTCTTAAACCGAACCGAACACCGAGCTGAATTAAATCCGAACCGAAGCCGAACCGTTTTATACCGAACCAAAGCCGAACCGAACTCTAATGTTAAACCGAATGGTTTAATTTTTTGGAATAAGGGTCAAATAGGCCACTGAACTGTACACGAGAATGCAATTAGGCCACTGAACTTAAAAAACCTACAATTGAGTCCCTAAACTAATCAATTTCATTCAATTTGTCCATTTTTCAAGTTTCTCAAGTTGCTAACAAGTTACCCTTCCACCTAGGATGCATATGTGGCATTTTTTTTTAAAAAAATAATTTATTTTTAAATTAGTTTTTTTAATATTTAATAAATAAAAACTAAAATAATTTATTTTTAAATCAATTTTTTTAATGTTTAATAAATAAAATTAAAATATTTTTTTTTGAAAATAAAATAATTTGTTAAGTCGTATAGGGCTTGGATTTTATTTTCAAAAAAAAAAAATTATTTTAGTTTTTATTTATTAAATATTAAAAAAAAAACTAATTTAAGGTGTTCAAAAAAAAAAGAATTTAAAAATAAAGTTTTTTAAATGCTACATATGCATCCTAGGTGGAGAGGTAACCTGTTAGCAACTTGAGAAACCTGAGAAATGGACAAATTGAATGAAATTGGTTAGTTTAGGGACCCAATTATAGATTTTTTAGGTTCAGTGGCCTAATTACATTATTGTGTGCAGTTCAGTGACCTATTTGACCCTTATTCCTAATTTTTTTAAAACCGAAACAGAAAAAAACCGAACTGAAGCCCGAAACTGCCACCCCTACTCTGCTCTTCTCTTCCAACCGGCGACCCCGCCGCCGTCTCCACGCATCTTTGCATATTTAATACCCCATAAAAAAGTGATAGATAAAGAAACACAAAGAACCCCTACTTTATTATTCTATCTTTGATGTTAAGAGTTTCGAGAATGAAATCGCTTCTGAACGCAACACTTGCTAAACCCGCAGCTTTCTGCACCAATTTGCAGGGAAGCGTTGTTGCCCAAAGAAGCTTCAACCTCACTAGCCCTTTTCAGACCCCTAGTTTCATTCGAACCAAGATTGCAGTTTCTCTATTTGGGGTTTCAGCTGCTTCAGAACGTAATCAAGTTCGGAGCTTGCGAACCAAGGCCTCACTGCCGGAACCCGGGGAGATTCATGTGATTGTGGGGCCTATGTTTGCTGGGAAAACCACCACTCTTCTGGAAAGGATCAAGGCCGAGAGCGGCAATGGCAGGTTTGCACAATTCCTATTTGTATATTGTTTCTTTGTGAATTCTCGGTCTTCAATTCATTCATTACCATGTTTTTGGTGTCAGCTTAATTAGATTATGTTGCCTGAAAGAAATGTCCGAGGTTGTTTTATTTACACATTTGTTTCTTGCATTTAACTGCTGAAAATTATTTGTTGTTAACTGTATCATAGAGTGCCATTTCCCTAAAGATTATCAAAGTGAGGTTTTATGCAATGCATTCAAGTTCTTCTGTTCTGTATTTGATGTTGTTGGTGTTGGAGAAATTAGGTTGATAATGTGAAAATAAATAAATGCTCATTGAAAGTATAGAACAAATACTACTTTGTAAAGATTCACGAGTGTTTTTAAAAAAAAATGCTCATGGGTAGTATGCCACAAAAATAATGTTGTTTGAATGCTACTTCAAGTTGAACAACAGTCACGAATTTCGCATAATATTCTTGAAATAAATTAATTCACACTGGCATTTGTTAAAGAATAATTTATCCACAGAAATATCAACAATGTAAGTTCAACGTATAATAGCTTTAACATTTAATTTTAATGTATTTAAAGGAGAACTATATTAGTCCATAGTCCATACATCAGACAAGATTGTCACATTATCAAGCTAATTTCTCTGACAGTTGGTATTGTGTTGTTGTGATTAAGTGACTATGCACCCCTGTAATTTGGAAGTAATTAAATATGGCCATTTAATGCTTGTTCTTGTTCTACATCAAGCCATACTCTTCCATTTCAAATAAACAATCATCCAGATTAAGTTACAATGGTTTCTTTAAGCTACTTTTCATATGAAAGCTGATTCATGCTGGAAAGGAAATCGGAAGAGATAAATCATGCCAATAAAAATGATAATTGGAATATATTTTTGTTTTTAATGCAGAAATGTTGCGATTATAAAGTCAGACAAGGATACTAGATATGGATTGGACTCTATTGTGACACATGATGGAGAGAGAATGCCATGCTGGCCTTTGGCAAATCTATCATCATTCAAACTAAAAATTGGTTCCGGAGCATATGATAAGGTAATAACCAAGTCAAGGGTGTTAACTTTTGATTTAACAACTGAGATATGCTAACGTCTATGGAGTATTTTGTTAACAATTAGGCTTGTGATTGTTAAGTGATTAACAGCAGCATATACATGCTAGGCAGTAGGCACAACTAAATTAATTGTTGTCTAGAAGAAATGTTTAAACTTTACTGTTATTTTTGTTGATTTCGATCAGTCTTTTTCTGTCAATAACACATGACAAACTTTTCTTGTGTTGTAATACTACATTAGTTGGAGGTGATTGGCATTGATGAGGCTCAATTCTTTACGGATCTATATGAGTTCTGCTGTGAAGCCGCTGATCATGATGGCAAAACTGTAATTGTTTCTGGGTTGGATGGGGACTACTTGAGGTATGACACCCACTTAGTTCTCTTGTCTTGGTGTAAATATTTTGATTCTTTTGAATGAAGTCATTCTGCTGTTGGTTTGTGTACTCAAATCTTTTTTGTGCTACACCAAATATTTCTTCCTGTTTTAATTGCATTCTTCTTTGGCGGTTTTGGCAGAAGGAGCTTTGGCTCTGTGCTAGATATAATTCCAATTGCTGATACCGTAACCAAGTTAACAGCTCGATGCGAACTTTGTGGGAAGTGTGCACACTTTACGCTTAGGAAGACCGAGGAGACGAGAACAGAAATAATAGGTGGGGCAGATGTGTATATGCCTGTATGCCGGAAGCACTATGTGAGTGGCCAAGGGTTGAAAAAAGCCGCTAGAGATGTCCTGGAATCTCAGCAGCAGGTCGAACGCATTCAATTTTGCGACACTGCTGATGCTATAGCGTGATCTGTAGTTAGTCGTTGATCAGCTCAGGTGTATCCACAACTGACCTATTAGTTCACTTCTGTGGGATTTTTAGCGTTACCATGTTTGTAATATCTTTGGAAAAATTGTACTTTTCGTCCTAAGTTATAAGATAATTGTAGGTTTCGTCCTTACTTTTTCGTTTCTAAGCGATAACTAACATTGAACAAGTAGTGACGAATCCTATAATTATCTTGTACTTAGAAACAAAAAATGTAATTTTCCGTCTATGCTTCTTAGCTTCGTAATGCAGTTAGCGCATGATGTTCAATTTGTGTAGATATATGGTGCAGAGGACATCTTTAGACATAAGAATATGTGTTTGAAATGTAATGAATGCAAATTGTAGAATTATGGTTTACTCATGGCTCAGTCACAAATTTTGGCTGCAAAAACAGAACTAGTATCCATCTTAGACAGGCAGATTATAGATACAGACATATGACATATGTATGCATGTTTCCTTGGCAAACATGGCTGGCATCAATCCTCAAATACTCAAATCTAGCTCTCAACACTACTGATTTTCCAACTCCTTGATGAGATTGACTATATGTTTCCCGTTCACATTACGCGAAAGATATGCATTTCGCTTCTTGAGAAGCTCGAGAAGAGACCCGTAAAGCTCCACATCATGTTGCTGCAGCATAATACATGCAAGAATTTGTTTGTTAAAAGCCTGGCAATCATGAGGAAATTAATTAAGAAATTCATTGAAGGCTGTATTGAATTGTTACCTTTGTAACTCTTAAGGCTGTCTGGACAACATAATTTCCAAACTGATCAGTTGCAAGTGGTAAGAGTTGCTTTTTAGTCTTCAAAAGAGCCCCAACCACAGATCTCATTCCAAATTCTGATGATTTTATGCACTTCTCCACAACATGGCTGCCACCCTTTTTGCGAGCTAACTGTATGTATAGACCCTCAAGACGGTTACAGATGATTCGGGTGAAATTTTCATCCTTAAGCTCTAGAACCTCCTGCACCACAAAGTGGCTGGTGAAAGTATCACCCTACATTAGGAAAGGAAAAAAAGTTTTAATTTAAAGTTTAGTTAAGAGTATATATGCACCCACCCCCAAGGATCATTGGAGAGGAAATCTGAATGTTCTGAGATCTGGGTGAGAAGTTTGGCCCTATGTTCCCCACCAATGCAACTCAGGCAATCATTCAAGGATGCACATCCATGTTCAGAAGTGGCTAATTCTTTGAAGTAACGAACCATAGCATCATACAACACCTGAGACCAGATCAGACTAATAATATAATGTATAGCTAGTAGGATTATCGAGATTGGTTAGTTAAACGTACAACTACCATACCCACCTCATTCTCCCTGGGTTCGAAGGTATTAAAGCATTTCTGCACAACATATCGCCCTTCTTTACTCGTCATCAGTTCAAGAAACCTACGGGAAAAAATTGATGTAATGGTGAAGCCATCATCTGAGTTTTTCAGTTTCTTGATCAATGCCTGGATTGCAGTTGAACTGTATATATATATAGTATGTGTAAGTGTCAAAGAAATTAAAAAAATGAAGTATTATAGTAGGATATATACATACATACCCGTATCTGTGAAGAGCTACATCTATGAACAAGTCCTCAGAGGAAGCCAATGTGGAGAAGATGTCCTTAAGCTGTGTGGAATCGCAAACATCAAGAAGCCTATGAAACAGATGGTGCCCATATTCATTATCCATCACCTCAAAAACAATGCCATCACCAATAATGGAATTCAAAATCTGTAGCCTCGTCTCAACATCACCACCCGGTTTCATAAACCCCTGCAAAAACTGAGAACCCTCCCGGGTTTTAGCAGTCTCCAGAATATATTCTTTTCTTGGCCTTGTGGTGGTGAAGAAACTACTACCATCTGCAGGTTGTGGGGCATATGGGTCCCATGGACTATCAGACTGCACGCTGCTGTTCAAACTCATCATCCCCATCGCTTCATGATCAGGTCGAGGACGAGGAGGATAATTCTCCATTTTTCTATTCCCAGCTATTTAGTAGTTGGAATATAGCCTTTGACTAAAATTAAATGCTTGCATGCTATTTATAGCCTTCATTTCAATTGATTCTTGATTTTCTTGGGCTAAACCTCACAACTCTTACCGTATCTTATGATTCTAAAATTCTTTTGGCAAAAATCTTTAAGGGGTAGAATATTACAATCCAAAAATATTTTCCTCCGAAATTTTCATTTTTCTAAAATTCAAAAATAAAACTTTGATTTAATTATTCCTACGATAATTTTACCAAATGAATTAAACATTTTATTTTAAACTCTTATTCCAAAATGATTTAATAGAGTATATATATATATATATATATATATATATATATATATATATATATATATATATATATATATATATATATATATATTCATGATTTTAAAAATCCTAATCAAAGGATATATTTATGTACCAAAACTTTGATCCAAAAGTCTATTTGAGAGAATTTGTGAATTTGATAGAATTGTTTGAACCCAAACTTGATTCTAAAATGAACCCATTCTCTTTTAAAAATTTATTATCGCATTTATACCCAAACTTGATCCAACTTCCGACCCAAAATCTTAACCTAGAAATTTAAATCGCAAAATGGCCTTAAAGCCCTCTCCTAGCCGTTCACTCCCTTTCCATTGTTACCTAGGGTTTTGAGCCTATAAATATGCACTACTCCATTGCCTAATCTCTTCAATCCCTCGATTGTTTCCTCCTGTCAAAGTCTTTAGGAGACCATCACCAAGAAGAAAGTATAGTGAGCATTTCCATCTTCCTCATCCTTCTTCATTCATTTCATCCTTTCATCTTCTTCTTCCTTTCTCATTTCATCTCATTTCATTATATAATGTATGTATGTGCTTGTGTATGATATTTGTTCTATGTGTTCTTGCTTGAGATTGATAGGAGGAAGCCATAGTTGAAGAAGAAGGAGGGATTCATACTAGGAGCTAGCAATCTCAAGGTAAACCTACTACTTTGCCCTAAGTTCTGTGAATATTGTTGTGCGTTGGTATATAATGTTGTGATAGAGATTTATGTGTTGTTTTGTGCCTATAATGTTTTGATGATGATGTCTTGATGCTATAATGTTGTTGATTGGTGTTTTGGAGATGTGTTGTTTTCTGAAAATGAGTTTTCCGCCATTAAAATGGTTGCAGAGCATTATCCCAGAGGTCATTGCCTCGCCAAGGATTTCAACCTGGCGGGACTAGCCGCGGGACTGGACAGTCCCCCGTGAAGGTTGGGCTCAGAGTGGCGGGCTCTCTGAGCCCTGTCACTCTGTGTCGTGGCTGTTGCGGGTCCTAGTGGCGGGACTCTCTAGTTCCGTCGCCTAGTCTTGCACGACCACGACTTCAACGCAGAGTCCCTTTTTCGTTCAGTGTTGAGGTCCCGACCCAATCTAAGACTCGTGGGCCCGTGTGGCTCGAGAATTTAATATTGGTTATGTGAAATTTGCCTAAGTGGTACGTGAATAAAAATCTATTTTCAACCAAAGCATGAACTGCGATTTTAATTACTAAGTGTTGCTTGGATACACTTGATTGTGAATATTGAGTGTATGTTGGTTTTGGCATTAAATTATGAAATCATGAAGGATTTGTTTAAGTGCTCAACTTATAATCATTAGTTTGCATTGAAGAGTGAGTTGACATGATTACATGAACACTTATGCATGAATTATTATTCCCCTATTCTATATACCTAAACCTATGTTTTATATACTAAAACTATTTATCTATTTATGAATGACCTATAATAATGCCCTAAACTCTTTCAAAACTTATTTATATACATATACCTATATATATCTATTCACACTCTTTTTGGAAAACATGCATGATACTATGATTCCTATATTAGAAAAGGGAAGTTTTCAAATGTTATGTCACTGCTAGCTTTTAATGTGAGGAAAACCTATATTTTTGGAGGTCCCCGTTTGGACTATGTCCTTTCGGCAGAAATGATGAAATGTTATGATGATGAGAAAGTCGGTAGAAAAATTCTGGACAGATATGATTGAAGTAGCTTGGTAGAAAAATTCTGGACAGGGCGAGGAGGAAATGCCTACTTACTCGGGCACTTAAACTTAATGTCTTCTCGTTCTTCGTAGGGAACAACGACACCAAGGAATCTTCCGAGGAGTCAGAGGATGGCGAGCAGGGCGAGGAGGAAATGCCGGTTGCTGCACCCATCCTGGTTGATGTCCCCCCTGAAGATATTTTGGACGCGTCCATGGCCGACTACCGCTCCATTCTCTGCGCATTTGGTAGGGCCCGTTTGACCGTCGCCGATAAGGGCAAGGGCGTGGCCACTTCAACCGACTCCACCCAATCGCAAGCTGCACGCAGCCCGGGTCTTCTGGCCATCGGAGGTTCTCTGGCCGCCGTAGCCCGGTCTGCTGCAGACAACAAGCGGAGGAGATCGGCTACTCCCATAGGTCCATTGGTTACACCTTCTCATCGCCGGGTTGGCGTTAAATTATGTGCATGTTCAACTTAATAAATTACACCCATAGATAATAACTAAATAAATTTCAAAGAAGTTAATAGCTCACTATTACCGTGTAGGCTTAGTAAAAAATACACGTATGCACATTAGCGTTAAACAGTTTGCATGCACAACTAACTAAATAAATCTAAATCGTGGCTAATAACTAAATAAATTTCACATGCATAAATCTCAAGCCGAAACGTGTGTGCATTCGCGTTACAGTGTGTGCATGCAAAACCAAACAATTCTCATAGAAACGCCCAGTTCAGCATTAGCTCATTGGCCTAGTAATTACATACATGTGTGCACATTGGCGTCAAACTGTGTGCACGCATGTCTAAAAACATTGCACATAAGGATAATAACTAAATTAATTTCATATAAATGACTAGTGCTCTATTAGCTTTTACACTTAGTGAATAAATACGAATGTGCACGTTGGCGTTAAATTATGTGCATGTTCAACTTAATAAATTACACCCAAAATATGCCCGGTAGAAGTCGAGTTCGTCTTCTGGTGTTGCAAATTGTTGCCCAACATATGGTGTGCTTTCGATTTTGCAAGTAGGTAACCACTGTTTCGTTCCATCTGGTAATACGACCATGTCGCAATCCGTTATTCCTCCTCCATTATGCTCTTCGCCTATAAATCAACAGTGTAATTGCGTTAATATAAGTTGCCTTATTCGTTTATGGCAGCACAGTTAGAATTGGACACACATTAGAGCACAAAATAGCCAATGTGCACATGTTCTTCCACATTTTCATAGTTTGCATCTATGCTCGAATGTGTGCACATGCGCCTAATGGCGTGTGCACATGAACCCAAATAATACCGCCCCTAACTTCCCAACAATCGTATCCTCTCCATACCTGCTAATTCTGCATATTTCTATTCAACATATTCATAACCCTCTATTACGAGTACGGACCGAGACAAATATTCACTACTTTAGACCCCAAACAAATTATACACACGTATTGCATTATGTTCATTAGCACTCAAACTAAATATAATAATACTGTTCAGTTTTTGTCCTAATTACCTGGGCGTGCATCATCCATGGAGTCTTGGTTGACATCGTAATTTCTTGATTGTTCACCGTCCATGGAGTCTGTGTCCACCGTAATTTCTTTGTGAGCATGTCGGTAACAGTTCTCCAAAAAATCGATCGTGAAAGGAATTGCGTTGCCAGGGATGTAGTCAAGTCCTACCATACTTAAATCTCCTTAATTTTAGCTGATTATATACAAATTAAATCTATTTCTTATTTACGTTGAATATGCATTACCATTATTGCCCTTCTTTGCATTAAAATCATAACCTGCGTGTAGTTACTAAGCATACATCTAATCCATCCATCTAAACACACCCTATGACTAGATTTTGTCCTCATGTTTGTATTTTAAGGGGGTTTGCATGTGAATGCAACCCTATATATATATATATATATATATATATATATATATATATATATATATATATATATATATATATATATATATATATATATATATATATATATATATATATATATATATTGGTTTCGAATCCGGTACAACCCTTATGATACATGAGTTCATGAGATCTCATGATATTCATTAATTCGTTTTTCAGGTAATAATATTTTTAATTTCTTTAAAACTTATGGAGTATTGTTTATGGGTTACTGTTGAAAACATATCATCTTCTAAAGAAACATATTAGTCAATTTTTTGGTTTAGTTTTAGGTGGTGGATCATGACTCATCATCAAGACGTACTATGCATTAGAGCATCCTTAATAGTTAGAACTTTTTTTTTAGATTTTTGTGTGTCCTAATATCCATCTCATCATCCACTATCTTACTCAATCACAAAATTTTTTTTTTCAGTGATTTTAAATTTTTTCACAACTTGTTGTGGACCCATCATTTTGTCTCTATATTTTAATTATTTCTTTATTTATTTAATTTATAAATTTATAATAAACATAAATGAATAAAAATAGTTGAATCTCATTCTTTCGTTGTCCACTGGTAGCACTATTAAAAAAATAATATAATTAAAATAAAAATTATGGAAACTAATCTCACAAAAGACCATCACGGTGTTGTTTTGCAGAAGCTCACCACTGGCAGCACCGTTCTTTCTTTGTTTAAAAATTTAAAATAAAACTACAAGCCTGACAACAACTGACAAGAAATTTTGGTTTGCAGGAGGAAGAACTTCACAAAAGCCACCAATTCCATTTGTAAAAAGCTGACCCAAAAGAAATTATATTATTCCAAAATCCTTGTAAAGGACCTCCTTTTCGGGTTGCCCTTAGACTAAGTTTGAGAATAGTTTGACAATTTTTAGATTAATTATTTTACATGTTAATATATACGGACAATAATGTAGTATATATTAAACACTTATTTTACATCTTAATTAATATATTACAGTATAGGAAAAATCGATTTGATCTATAAACCCCAAAAAAAATCATAAATACTGAATTTATCAACAAATTTTCATTGATAAATAAATGGATTCATATGTTATTGAGTAACTGATTTTTTTTTTTTTTTTTGGGATGTCCAGTATATAAGAAACAATATAATGTTCGGTAAGTATTTAAACTTTTGTTTCTTGAAGCTAACAAAAATGAAACGTATGGTGGAATTTACGAAAATAAATGAACGTATTTAAACTTTTGTTTCTTCAGGAAGTAAGTTGGATAGTTGCTTTTGATTTTTAGTTTTGTAATTCTATTTTATGTTGTGATTTTCCCTTGCTTAGAATTCAATGTTATGGTTATGCTTTCTGGGTTTTTGTCAAAGCTTATCTTCATAACTTGGCATATTGGTTGCTAACACTTTATAGAATATACTAGAGTGGTTCTTCATAACTTTGCGCACTTGATAATGCAGGCTAATCAATGTGATCCTTCTTTGAAGTATATTTGAGAGATTTTCTTTAGTTTCAACTCGTTAGGAACATGCCCCATGTTTTATTTAAGCACCCTGTTATTCAATTCCTCCTACAATTCTAGTTGATTTCCTAGTAAGGTTCAACGGTGTTTGTTCTCAATAGTGTGATTGATTAAAGAGTATTGAAAAGTGAGCACGTCTAATAAGTAGGGAGAAATCCGACAATAAGTAATGAATGCAAATTGTAGAATTATGCTAAAAATACAATAACTCATGGAATCCAAATTGTAGAATTATGATAGAAATACAATAACTCATGGCTCAGTCACAAATTTTGGGTGCAAAAACAGAACTGGTATACATCTTAGACAGACAGATTATAGATACAGAAATATGACATATGTATGCATGTTTCCTTGGCAAACACGGCTGGCATCAATCCTCAAAATCTCAACACTGCTGACTTTCCAACTCCTTGATGAGATTGACTATATGTCTCCCGATCACATTACGCGAAAGATGTGCATTTTGCGTCTTGAGAAGCATGACAAGAGACCCGTAAAGCTCCACATCATGTTGCTGCAGCATAATACATGCAAGAATTTGCTTGTTAAAAGCCTGGCAATCATGAGGAAATTAATTAAGAAATTCATTGAAGGCTGTATTGAATTGTTACCTTTGTAAGTTTTAAGGCTGTCTGGACAACATAATTTCCAAACTGATCAGATGCAAGTTGTAAGAGTTGTTTTTCAGTCTTCAAAAGAGCCCCAACCACAGATCTCATTCCAAATTCTGATGATCTTATGCACTTCTCCACAACATGGCTGCCACCCTTTCTGCGAGCTAAGTGTATGTATAGATCCTCAAGACGGATGCAGATGATTCGGGTGAAATTTTCATCCTTAAGCTTTAGAACTTCCTGCACCACAAAGTGCCTGGTGAAAGTATCACATACATTAGGAATGAAGAGGAAATAAAAAAAAGTTCTAATTTAAAGTTTAGTTAAGAGTATGCACCCACCCCCAAGGATCATTGGAGAGGAAATCTGAATGTTGTGAGATCTGGGTGAGAAGTTTGGCCCTCTGTGGCCCACCAATGCAACTCAGGCAAGCATTCAAGGATACACATCCATGTTCAGAAGTGGCTAATTCTTTGAAGTAGCGCACCGTAGCATTATACAACACCTGAGACCATAGAGCGAGCTGAGTGTTACAATAATCAAGCTAGCTAGGTACTAATAATATAATATAATGTATAGTAGGATTATATTCCAATATCGAGATTGGTTAGTTAAACGTACAACTACCATACCCACCTCATTCTCCCTGGGTTTGAAGGTATTAAAGCATTGCTGCACAACATATCGCCCATGTTTACTTGTCATCAGTTCAAGAAACCTACGGGAAAGAATTGATGTAATGGTGAAGCCAAAATCTGATTTTTTCAGTTTCTTGATCAACGCCTGGACTGCAGTTGAACTGTATGTATATATAGTACGTGTACGTGTCAAAGAAATTAAAATTGGAGTATTATAACTTAATTGAGAGAGAGAGAGAGATTTGAAGGAAGCAAAGGGATATAATTATTTTGTAGCTAGGTTTACCCGTGTCTGTGAAGAGCTACATCTATGAACAAGTCCTCAGTGGAAGCCAATGCAGAGAAGATGGCCTTAAGCTGTGTGGGATCACAAACATCAAGAAGCCTCTGAAACAGATGGTGCCCATATTCATTATCCATCACCTCAAAAATAATGCCATCACCAATAATGGCATCCAAAATCTGTTGCCTCAAATCATGATCACCCTCTTTCAGAATCCCCTGCAAAAAATGAGAACCCTCCCAGGTTGTAGCAGTCTCCAAAATTGAATTATTTCTTGGCCTTGTGGTGGTGAACAAACTACTGAAATCTGCAGGTTGTGTAGCATATAGGTTCCATGGACTATCAGACTGCAGGCTGCTGTTCAAACTCATCATCCCCATCGGTTCATGATCAGCTCGAGGAGGAAGAGGATAATTCTCAATTATTTGATTCCCAGCCATGTACAATAATGAATTACGATCACTACCCACAACCATGTTACTACTACCATCTTGTGATCTTCTTCTAAAAGACTGATTCCGAAAATTCCATGCAGATGAAGAAACAAGTCCACCATAAACGCTTCCTGATACAGTATATTAATCAACTAAGAAAAGAAAAAACAGAGAAATATACATAATTCAAGAAAATACTGAGAATTATATACCTGGATAAGTGAGATTGTTGCCTGTCAAATTATTGGAAGAAGAAGCCCGAGTTCTTGAAAACATCCATGGTGCTGCATTAGAACCTAAGCTGTTGTTTTCGTTCAAACTGAGGTTTTGGAGAGAAGCGAGAAAACTTTCAGGATCGTAGACTAGAGGATTAGGGTTGGTGTTAGCAGGGTTTAAGGTTCCCATTGGAGTATTCGACCGGAAACAATTAGGAACAGCAGATGCTAATTGGTTTGTAACAATGAATCTATATCTATGTATATAAATATAATTTTTATTTCCCATTCCAGTTCGTACTGGGATTTGAATCATATCATCATTCAACCTCTTTTCTTTCCTTTGTCTACAAGGAATCTAAAACTTGGTTCTAACCAGTCGATGCCTCTTCTGATCTCCAACAGGCATAACAACAACTGTTAATGCGACTGACACCGCGCGCTATTGAAGCTGCCATTGAATTGCCACCGAATAAAAAATGAAGGAGAAGGATCCATGAAAGCTGATAATATAATCTTGCCAAGCCTCAGCTCCTCGGGTTTCTAATACAGAACACAGACACCACCAGCCACCGCCGTTAACGCCGCTGAGAGTTTCAATCTGGAAACCAATTAGGTCGCTGCTGGTGAATCTGTGATACCATCCTAAATTCCAGAACCGAAAATGATCTAGCGTTTTTGAGAGAAAGTAGCTAGGCAGATTTTTGGAAAAACCTCTTCGATCGGCCATTTTCCGTCGCTGGCTGACGGAATTCCGACGATCGGAGGCTAGGACTTCGTCAATGATACCATTAGCGTGGCAGTCAATCCGATCCACATACATCTGCCATTTCGATCTTCTCCCTCCATCCATGGAGAACTACTCGTACACCTCGTTCCGGTGAAATCGAGTACGATCGACTCTATAGGGCTTGGCCGAATTGAAGCCGGCTAGGCTGAGGCTGTTCATCTTCCCGGCTACTCCTCCTACGGTGATGACGCAGAGCCGGATCGGAGTTTTGGCTCTGATGACGTGAAATCTGAGAAGCATAGGTTTGTGGAAGCGTTGAATTCCGGCCCTGTTCAGACAAATCATTCGCCTTCCGCAGCCAGGGAACGCGGATTTTCTGATCTGTTTGGATTATATAAAGGAGTGCCGGCGCCGCCTCAAGTGAAGTTGAGGGATCCGGGTATGGAGACGACGGTAGTTAAGGAACCGGAGATTCCGGCACCGTGTTTGGATGATAGGATGATCGGATCCAATCCAATCCAATCCAGAAACATATCCAGGATCTGCATCTGGAAGAGCAACAGAATGTATATCGCCGGAGCAATACAACAGAATCATACATTTGCCTACACGTTGGCAGGCATCTTGTGTTCAAAATCCAAATTCGAATTTGAATCTTTTTTTTATTTAAGATTAATTTGGATTGTTTTTTTGATGAACTTTTGGTAACTTGCAGCACCACTTTAACATTTCATGTTGCTTTGATATTATTAAATTTGTTGTTGAATTGTCTTTTGAGAGTGTTGTTACTTAGGGTGGGCGTTTCGTGTTTCGGTTTGGTTTTTTTTTTTTCAGTTTCGGTTTCAGTTTTTCAGTTTTAAAAAAATTAAACCATTTGATTTAATATTAGGGTTCGGTTCGATTTCGATTCGATTTGAAACGGTTCGGTTTCGGTTCGAATTTAATTCGATTTGGTGTTCGGTTCGATTTAAGATCCCCAAATTTCAACATTTCTTAATTTTTCGAACATACTACTAAACAATACACATTCACATAATCCAAATTCAAACTCTAAACATTATATAACAAAATAGCAATCCAAAGTTCAAACACAATACTAAGTACTAATTACCAAACATCAGTTAACGTTTTTGCACAACCGACTCTTCAGTTGGTTCAGTTGGAATATTTTTATTGATAAGATGGAATAATCATATATCTGTATAGTTGATATTAAAAGAACTAGTGTCAATTACTATATAGTTAATTTTTGGACACAATCTGTCATTGCTAGTGCACTCGAAATATATTCCAGTACTAGAAAATAATTATAGTGCACTGGAAATAAAAATTAGAATGACTGTGAAGCACATTAAATTTATAGAAAAACATGAAACTAAGGAAAATACTGAATATTGTAAATATAACTCAAGTTAGATATAATTGTGAGGTAAAGAACAATTGCGACAAACAACAAAAGTGCAATGTAGAAAACAAGCTATAAAGAAAGGAAAATACTTGGTGTACTCCCATTTTATACTCCCAACTTGTACTCCCTCTCACATGTTCTTGATGTAGACATTTTTTTGTGGACCCACATGTTGAAAATAACCAATCCAGGCTTGCCACATCAGGGAGTACAAATGAGGGAGTAGAATTTGGGAGTTCATGTAGTAGAACTCAGAAAGAAATTAAATAAAAAATTTAAGGTTCGGTACCAGTAAAAATGAGAACTGAACGGCGCAGCAGGCATCAAAGAACTTGGATTTACTTCTTCTTTATTATTATTATTATTATTATTATTATTATTATTATTATTATTATTATTTATTATTATTATTATTAAAAAAATTATATAGCATTCGGTTCGGTTCGATTTTTGCCAAATCGTCGGTTTCGGTTCGATTCGGTACGGTACTAAAGCGTTCGGATTACAAAATCCCGAACCATTCGATTTTCTATTACTAATTTGGTTCGGTTCAGTTCGAATAAACCGAACCGAAGTGCCCACCCCTAATGTCACCTGTTTACATGGTCAACGAAAAGGGTTAGCCAACATATTCTAATTTGTTGACTTTAGTTTGTTTGTTATCTAATAATATAGAGTGAATTCCAATTTTGGTCCTACTGCTATAGGGGCGTTTTCAATTTTAGTCCACCTTAATTTTTTTTGGCCACTTTATAACCACTATTATTGAATGTGTTCCACTTTTAGTCCCACCGTTAGTATTTCCATCAAGAGACTGTGTAATCTAGGGGTATTTTGACCTTTCTTCTCATCCAAGACTATGTTTGACTAAAGAAATGAGAACATTAAATCTAAAACCTAAGAAACCTCGCTGGCCCATGTTAGAACGAACGTAACGGTGTAGCTTTGGCTTCCCATTCTCGTGTTCGAAGAGCCATCTTTGAATATCGGAGGAGGAGGACGAAGCGCCGGGATTAAAAGAGAAGAGACAAACATAAAAAGACCAAAATATCATTTGATTATACGGCCTCTTGATGGAAATATTAACGGTGGACTAAAAGTGGAACACATTCAATAACAGTGGTTGTAAAGTGGCAAAAAAAATTAAAGTGGACTGAAATTGGAAACACCTCTACAACAGTAGGACCAAAAATGAAATTCACTCTAAAATATATATACTCTTGTCAGCCATAAGAGTAGAGGTTGTTACTTTAATTCAAAATCACGTTTGTGAATGAGTGATTATCTATTTAGGCAAATTATTGCAGTGGTCTATGGACCATAATAAAAAGTACATTTTTAATATATTAAATGTACATTGTTTGTGTATTGAATGTACATTATATAAAATAATGTACTCTCAATACTCAAATAATGTATTTTTCCTGAATACAATGTACATCATTAATATATTAAAAGTACATTAATTTTGTACTAAATATACATTATTTTATAATATACAAAATATGGTCCACACAGTTTGTGTTGACCATAATCCACACAATAATGATTGATATATTTACATCCTCCCAAATGCTCTGTCCGGTCGGGGTGTGGGGGCCCTTAAGGTTGGGGTTCAACCTTTTAGAAGAATATTTGATATATTTATGCACCTTTGTGATTTCGCCATATCAGTGGGCTTTTTGCTAATTGTAATATAAGTGGCATAATAATGCACAAATTGGACCAAGGCCCATGAAATAATGATTGTTGAACAGTAGGGCTGTGCACAACCCGTCCAACCCGAAAAATCCGCGCCCCGCCTTAGCTATCGGAGTGGATACCCGAACCCGACTTGCAACCCGACGCCCTTATTTCGAATTTCCGATTTAATATAAAATCAGTTAGGGATTGCTTAAAACCTACCCGATCCGTCCGATAACCCGATAATATATATATATATATATATATATATATATATATATATATATATATATATATATATATATATATATATATATATATATATATATATATATATATAGTATATGTATATGCATAATACGATGTCGTGTGGGCATTATATATATATGTGTTATACGGAGTTAGGGTTTCATTACTCACTATTTCATCAGCTGCGCAGCTTCTACTTCTCAGTTCTCAGATCTCTCTCAATCTCTCACTCTCTCAGAGTCTCACTCTCTCAAGTCTCACCCTCTCTGAGACTCAGACTCTCAGAGTCTCAGAGACTCAGACACTCTTCATCTCTTATCTTTTCAGTTCTCAGAGCCTTAGTCAGTTAGTCTCTCAGAGGCTTCGACTCCTTCGAGGGTTCTGTAGTTCACTCGTTCTGCACAGCCCTACTCTCTTGAGCCGTGTACCGTGGTGGAAGCCTCAACTCTCAAGCCAGCGAAGCGTTGGTGGAAGCCCCTGTGTCCAGACGTCCAGTGTCCCTGCGTTGGTGGAAGCCCTTGTGTTGATTGCTGGAACTGGAAGAGTGGAGTTGAAGACCTAGTTCTTCGGGAAAATATTGGAGAAATCAAGTAATCGAAAACATGTTTTTAATACTGTTTTTTTAGGGTTACAAACTTACAATTTTTGATTGATACTTCATACTTGGATAGTTTCTGACTTTGTGGGGATTCTGTATATTCTGATTATTTGCATTATTCTGCGATTTGTGATGAAATTGTGAGTTTGTGAGCCCTAATTTGTACGTGAGTCAGTGTCTCAGTGACTCACTAGCTCACTAAGCCCTAATTTTTGGGGCTTTCCATATAGATGATGAATTTGTCAAATTCCTGATATATGGTTTCATGTTTATGGTAATCGGACACTTAACTTTGTACAGACTGTATATATGTAATTATGTTACATATTGTAGTGGTGGAAGCCTAAATTTGATTAATGTGATTATGGATTTTATGAATTATGAGATTGAATTTTATTCTGTATTTGTGTTGATTCATGATTGTATGAGCAGTTGGGCAATTCCATATACATGATGATTTGAAAAATGCAAATATGATTTATGGATTTAATGGTGGAAGTGTAATATGTAATATGTAATATGCTAATCTGCTAATCTGATTTATGGATTTAATGGTGGAAGTGTAATATGTAATACTTCTATGTATGATTGTATGGTGGAAGCTTTAATGTAAAATATGTTGTAATATGTATATATATTACCTGTTTATGATTTGTAATCTCAAATCTGTTTGGTTGTCTGCTTTATTTGGATACTGATGCCCATCTTTATAGATGGAAAGCATCAGTGCATCTGGACACCCTCCAACCTCAACTGATGAGGAGCATGGAGTAGAAGCTCCAGGTACTGAGAGAAATCCTCAGACAAATCCTATGTCTTCTCCTCCTGTTGTTCCTACAAAGAAGAGGAAAGGGGTGGAGTCTAGATCTATAGTATGGGATCATTTTGAAAAGATCCGTGGTCCACCTGCTGAAAGTGAAACTAAGGGACCAGTAGTTAAGGGCAAATGCCTTTATTGTGCAAAAATTTATAAATGTGAAAGTAAAAAGCATGGCACTTCCTCATTGAAAAACCATATGAAGGCCTGCCTAAAAAATCCTCATTGTAAGGACACAAGGCAGTCTCTTCTCACCTTTAATGCCTCTGGAACAGAAGCTTCTGAGGGGGTTTTGGGGACTTGGGTTTTCAACCAAGAGGCTATTATGAGGGCATTGTGTGAGATGATCATTGTTGATGAACTTCCCTTTAGGATTGTTGAGGGAAATGGCTTTAGGAAATTCATTTTAGTTGCTTGTCCTAGGTTTCAAATCCCTTCTAGGTGGACCATTTCTAGAGACATTTACCAGATTTACCTAGATGAGAGAATAACCCTAAAAAAGTTGTTTAAAGTGAGCACCTAAAGGGTCAGCTTGACCACTGATACATAGACCTCTGTCCAAAGGATAAATTACATGTGCATTACTGCACATTTCATTGATGATCAGTGGAAGCTAAACAAAAAGATCATTTCCTTTGTCCCAATTTCTTCTCATAAGGGAGAGTACATAGCCAAAGCCCTTGAAAGTTGTCTTCTTGATTGGGGGATTAAAAATGTCTTCACTGTTACTGTTGATAATGCCTCTTCAAATGACACAGTTTTGGGGTTTTTCAAGAACAAACTTCTGTCTTGGGGTGGGTCTTCTGTTAGGGTTCAATATATGCACATGAGGTGCATAGCCCATGTGTTGAACTTAGTGGTCCAGGATGAGTTGAGATATGCAGGTCCTTCTGTTAAGAAAGTTAGAGATGTTGTGAGATGGGTGAGGAGTTCTCCTGCCAGACTTAAGAAGTTTAGAGAGTTTGCTTTGCTTAATGGGTGGAAGCCAAATGTGCATTACAACTTGATGTTCCAACAAGATGGAACATCACATACATGACGCTCAACACTGCCCTTCAATACCAGAGGGCCTTTGAAGCTTATGAGAATGATTCCTCATTGAGTGCTGACTTATCTGATTCTATTCCAAATTTTATGGATTGGCTTTCTGTGCAAAGCTTAGTCCATTTTCTGAAAGGCTTCTATGAGATGACTGTGAGAATATCTGGTTCTTTCTATGTCACTTCAAATACTTTCTTTTCTGAGATTTTTGACTTAGGTTGCATGCTGGATGACATGGTTAACTCTGTTTCAACCTCTGAAAAGGTAAATTGTTAACATTTTCTGAATGTGTTTGTATGCATCTGTGAATTGTGTTTGACTTTGTGTTAATTTTTCTGTGTTATGTATGTTTTTTAGGAAATGGGGTCCCATATGAAACAAAAATTTGAAAAATATTGGGGAGATCCTAAAAAAATGAACTTCTTGATATTCTATGCCAATATTTTGGATCCTAGGGATAAGATTGAGTACATGCCTGCCCAATTTGCCCAGTTATATGGTGATGAAAAAGGAAAATCATGCTTTGAAAAGGTTCAATCTTCTATGGTTCTGCTGTTTAATGATTATACAGCCACCTACCATGTCAATGTGCAGTCTGCATCCCCTACTGTGCAATCTACGCAATCTGAACCTATCCATTCTCAAACTTCAGTTGGAAAACCTCAGGCTAGAATGAAAAGCCAGCTTAAAAAACAGAGAATGGAGACTGGTGGAAGCAGTAAAGAAACTGAACTCCAGATTTATCTAAGTGAAAAATTAGTGGAAGATGAAGAAAATGTGGACTTTGATGTCCTAAGATGGTGGAAGGTTAACAGTGATAGATTTCCTATACTCTCTAGAATGGCAAGGGATGTGTTGGCTGTTCCCATTTCAACTGTTTCCTCTGAGAGTGCATTCAGTACTAGTGGTAGGGTATTAGATGTCTTTAGGAGTTTCTTAACTCCTAAAATTGTTGAAGCCCTAGTATGTGCACAAGATTGGTTGAGGGCACCCAATCATCCAATCTCTGTTGAGGAAAACTTGGATGATGTTGAAAGATTAGAGAAGGGTACTGTTTTTATTTTTTAACTTTCTAGGTTTCAACTTTATAAATTGTTAATTGTTACCTTTTCTAAACTCTTTTTTGTTTTTCCTTTTTGTGCAGAATTGTCCACTGGAGCTGCTGGTTCTTCACCAAGTACTGTTGGAACACTCCCAACAATTGCTGTAATACTTTTATATAACATTGCTTTCTGACTTTCTGTTTAGTTTGATTGATAAATGTGTGGACTCTTTGAGGCAACTCATGTAAGATTCCAGAACTGCTAATTGCTAAGTGGCTTGGTAACTTTTTTATAAATGTTGCTGCCCTTACTCAGTTACATCTCTGGTATTATGCCTTCTCTGGAATTCTGGTATCACTTCCCTTCCTCTCATATTCTCCTTTCTGTTTAGTTATGGCTATGATGATGCTTCCACCATTTGTCTGAATTAAAAGGACTTTGGGTGTTTGGTATGTTGCTCTGAGACAAAACTCATGAAGCAATTTGCCCCCAACTCTAAAATGATATGAAAAAAAGTAATCTGAGCCTTTCTTATTAATTATTATTAGTTCTCTACTTCTCTTTGTCTTTATTGGCTTTAAAGTTTAAAGCCTTTAATGGTTTTATAATTGAGCAGGAAGATGAGGAATGGATGAATGCTGATTGCTGAAGGCTGATTGGTGAATGGTGACTAATGCTGATTGCTGACTGCTGAGTACTTTAATAATTAGTAGTTTAGTGTTGTTTGAGAATTGTTGATTTTCTCATTTTGTGAACTTCATTTTTGCTTTTTGAACACCAGTTGGAAACTGCAATATGTAATTATGTATCTAAATGCCTACATAGCTTTGGCAATTTAGTTTAGGGTTATTAAGTTTGAACATTTTTACAGTTTTTTTTTGGTATGTTTTATAATCCGACTTCAAACCGAAATCCGACCCCCACCCGACCGTATCCGAACATGGGAAATCCGAAAGGATTTCCCTCTTAATTCGAACGGATTGGGGTAGTTTTTCCCAATCCAAAATCCGAGCGGATGAACGGTTCTATAAACCGATCCGCTCGAACCCGTCCGATGCACAACCCTATTGAACAGTGGTGTACCATCATATAGAGCCGTCCAAACGATTTTGCGAGGCGGGCTAAAAAGACCGCCTCTTAACGGGTTTGGAATGTGGCCGGCCCGCTCCACCATGTCAAAGCCTGCTGGCGGGGCGGGCTTAGAATGTGATCGGCCCGGCCCACCATGCCAAAGCCCGCTGGCGGGGCGGGCTAGCCAGCCAGTCAATATTTTTTTGTAATTAGAAAAGATTTGCTGTACTGTAGGCTTGTAGTTACACTACTGTGTAACTGTTTTAATTTTAAAAAATGACATGCAAACTAACAACATGGATTAAATACTAAATATTAATACAAATTCAAATAACTAACAACTAAAAGAAATTACCCAAACTTTTAAGTTTCTATTCTACATTAGGAATTAAAATAAAATAGTTCTGTAAATACTAAACTTCTAAAACTAATAATTCATCAATCATTATATCATTCATATCATGGTCTTATTCTCCTTGATCTCTATCATCATTGATTTGGAAATTGGGAATTGCGAAGCCAACTGCTATTTTTTTTTTTAATATAAATTAGCAGGCCGCGAGCTAAACCCGTGGCCCGCCTGACCCGCCCCGCTTGGACCCATGACCCAGGCGAGGCGGGCTAAAAAGTCCACTTTCTGGCGGGTGAAATAATCAAGAACCCGTCCCCTACCTACGGCGGGACGGGACGGGTCAACCTGGGGTAAAACCCATTTTTACGACTCTACCATCATATCACAAATTATGCCGTGGAAACGTTTGCACCAAACTTGGTGAACACGGTCCCAAACGGCATCGTTTTTACCGGAAAAAAAATTAGTTAATGTGCTGTTAACGGCGTTTTGCATTCTATGTTCAAGATTATGAATTTACATTTATTAAATTATGAATTTTCTGTTATGAGATTATGAATTTCTGTTATGAGATTATGAATTTACAGTTATGTAATTATGAATTTTCTGTACATTCATAATCTCATAATAGAAAATTCATAATCTCATAACAGAAAATTCTTAATTTCATAACAGAAAATTCATAATCTCATAAAAGAAAATTCATAATTTCATAACTGCACATTCATAATTTATGAGTGTTGAAGAAACTTGTGCGAAGATGTGAAACCGCAAAATGTGAATATGAAGAAGAAAAGTCGCACTGTTAATTAAAAAAAAAAAAGATTGGTGGAAGATAACAGTGCCTGTAGGCACCGTTACCGTTTAGGACCGTGTTCACTATGGAGGGTGAATACGGTTCCATGGCATAACGATTGCCATCGCATCCATGTGAATCATGCTTAGGATTTAGCATTTTTGTGAATGATATTTTTGTAAATGATATAGCATGATTTATATCATTTTTATTTGCCAAATGATTACCACCAACATGACTTCTGCAAGCATACATGAACTATTTAGCAAATCTATGTTTTTGACATGCAAACATATATTATAACCATATTTTTTAGGTAATGATATTATCTAAAAAAAAAAAATTTGTACTTTTTGGTGGCCTAACACAATACAAAATATCGGTAGATATTTGTTTTTAATATTAATATTTTTCGGGTGTAAGTTTTATATTCTTTCAAAAAATATCTTAAGAGCATGCAACTTTAGCAATTTTTTTAAAAGATGTTTTGACTATTCCTGTTAAGCTGACGAATTGTGTAAGGCAACATTGGCATAAGAGGGAAATACCAAATATGATCCTGCCATTTAAACTGGCACACATAACATCCTGGATGAACCAAAATAAGTGTTCCCCCCCTCCCCCCCCCCCCCCCCCCCAAAAAAAAAAAAAAAAGAAGATAACATGTGCATACCACTATGTTTTCTTTTACTATGACAATTTGCTTAAGAAACTATGTAGCATCTGTTCACTCCATACAATTGTATGTTGAGTGCACTAATTGTTTCTCTAATTGCCATGACATCATTATTTACAATATACATTTTTATAAGAGCTTTGTTAAGCAATTATGGATGAAATATATCTATTTTGAGGACCTCCAAAATTGAGAAACCACCATGCCCATCCACTACATATCACAAACGCCTAGTACGTGGTTCAACACCATGATGCATTTCCCTATTTGCGTTCAATCGTTTTCTTTAGTGTGCAACCCTTCTACCTATAACCCATCATGAGAAATCAACAGCAATGTTGGTTGCATCATAAGATTTTTTTTTTCTCGGCATTAGGGCCGGAGAGATTTGAAGTTCCTAATTAATTGAAAGCCGAAAAAATTTAATGAGATGAAAAATCTTCAAACCCATGCACTAGCCTTATAGAATCAGAAGTTCAGACAATGAAAAAATAATCTCCTAGAAATATCAAGGAGTGACTAAGTCCATAGAAATTATTTCATATATATATTAAGAGTTGAAATCCCCAACTATGACTAAATATCTCTACTGTTTTTCTTTAGGCCGGAAGCATAGGAAATTTATCGGTTTAATAATTTGCAAAAACTAGATCTAGTGTAGAAATTTTGTCACTCCTGAAATAAAAAAAAAATTATCCTGAAGATATTCGTTTGGAAGGCGAAAACCCCTAGTAAAATTGTAGGTGCACCAAATAACTAAAATACTGGGGAAGCGGAAAAACCAAATTCAAATACTCTTGGGAAATGCCATATATTTGGTTGATACAAAATTTCCATGTGTATAAAAGATATTTACAAAGCTGTTATAGTTGTTGACAACATATTTTGACACGATAGACATATTTTGTTAACAGGTTTCGGATCGCGTGGACACGATATAACACGAAACCCGTTTAAACTCGCTAAAGCTATTAATATATTAAAAATCTAAAATTTAAAGTTAAGTTATATATATAAAAAAAAAGAAATAAAACCTACAATTCAATCCATCAAACAAACTAAAAAAATATTCAATTTATAACATTCATAAAATTGTTGCTAGATGGTCCCACCAATGTGGGTAGGGTGGTGACCAAAAGCTTAACAATTAAGCTTGGAAGATGAAGTGAAAGGTTTTTTGATTAATGGCTTCATTCATGTCTACTTAATGGGAGATTAAAGTGGGCAAATGAAAAGACAAAAGAGTTGGCTTTGTAAAGCCTATATAAAGGCCATGGATTTGGCTACCTTGGACATGAGAGAGTTTAAGAAGAAGAAAAAGAGAGGAGAGAAAATTTGTTGAGATATACAAGTGTGAGAAAATTAGCCGAGAAGAAGTTGGTGGATTTCGTAGAAATTCTTGTGCCTCGGGGTATGTTATTTTCTCTTGTATTTTGTGTTGCCTCCAATCGTTGAATTAGAGAAGCCTCCTCTGTTGTACCCATTATCTATATAGTGGAAGGTTTACTGGCTTGTGCCCGTGGTTTTTTACTCCTTGCCTTGAGGAGGTTTTTCCACGTTAAAATTCTTGGTGTTCTTCTTGGTGCCGTTTATTTATTTTCATTGTGCTAATTATATATTCTTGCGAGCTTTCTTCCCAACAACTGGTATCAGAGCCTTGTTCAAGTGCGAAGCTATGGAAGGAAAGTTCAATAGAATTGCTAGTTTGAATGGCACAAATTATCACATATGGAGAAATAAGATAAAAGATCTACTATATGTGATGAAGTTGCATTTACCCGTGTTTGCTACCCAGAAACCTGAAAATAAATCAGATGAAGAGTGGGCCTTTGAGCATGAACAGGTATGTGGTTATATTCGGCAATTTGTTGAAGATAATGTGTATAATCATATTTGTAGTGAGACTCATGCAAGGACACTGTGGAGTAAACTTGAAGATTTATATGCTTCAAAGACTGGCAACAACAAATTGTTTTATCTCACAAAATTGGTGCAATTGAGATATAACGAGGGTAGTTCTGTTGCGGATCACTTGAATGAATTTCAAGGGATTGTTGATCAATTGTCAGGTATGTGAGTTAAATTTGATGATGAGGTTCTTGCTCTTATGGTATTAGCATCATTGCCAGATTCTTGGGAGACTTTAAAGATTTCTTTGACTAATTCTGCTCCTAACGGTGTTGTAACAATGGAACTTGTTAAAAGTGGTGTCCTGAATGAAGAGATGAGACGAAGGTCACAAGGTACTTCCTCTCAACATTCAGAGGTCTTGACTACAACAAATAGGGGGAGAAGTCAAAGCAAGGGTCCAAGGAGTAAAGATAAAAACAGAGATAACAGTAGAGGTAAATCTAATAAATTTGCTAATGTTGAATGTTATCATTGTCACAAAAAGGGGCATATTAAGAAATTTTGCCGACTACGGAAGAAAGAAAATCAGAAAAATAAAGACTCTGAAAAGAATAATGGTAGTGATGATGATAGTGTAGCTGCTACAGTTGAACATGATTTTCTTATCTTCTATGATGGTGACACAGATGCCATTAATTTGGCAAGTTATGATACAAACTGGGTAATTGATAGTGGTGCATCCATTCATGCTACAGCTCGAAAGGATTTTTTTGTTAGTTATGCAACAGGTGATTTTGGAGTTGTGAAAATGGGCAATGATGGTAATGCAAAGATTGTTGGTGTTGGCGATGTTCAGTTAGAAACCAACAATGGCACCAAGTTGCTTCTGAAAAATGTGAAGCA